GGTGTCTGTACAGCCGCCGGATCGTTTGTACCGTGCACCCCCCCCCCCCCCCCCCCCCCCCCGCCGCTGTTCGACCACACTGCTTAGTAGCAGATAAATACAGAATTGTGTGCGAGTGACGCCGCTGCTCTCCATCCAGCATGCAAAGTAACAGCTTCGGATGACAGCATGCTCTGGAACGGGTCCCTCTTATAAATTTTACTATGGCAGTTTCTCCCCGAGTGAAAGTGACTAATCAATGTGAACAAATTAAACAGATTTGCATTGTAATACATCAGAGGCAGGAACACTCCGGCTTCTATGGAACTACAAATTGCATTTGAGGCATTGCAAGACTGACAGGCATTGGCACGGCTCCCAGAGGCAGAAGCCTGCCCACCCCTGTGATACATAATCAGCATATTCCTATCGGGAGGATTGTATACGCGGCTAGCGCAATCCTTCACAATGAAAGTATTTATATAGAACATTTCAGGAACGTGCAGCCCCAACCATCAATAGACTGTGATGATGGCAGTATGTTATAAGCTGGGGATGCACCGATACCGGTTTCTCGGTATCGAGTATTGATATTCGTTTTCCGGTACTCGGCGATACCGGAAGTCCCATTAAGGAAGCCAGACGGTGTGTAATGACTCCCCGCCCGGCTTCCCGATTAGCAGGGAAGACGTCTCCATGCTCCCTCGTCACCAGGTGACTAGAAAGCATGGAGGCGGCTTTCTGGCCAATCACGAAGCCAGGTGCCGTATAATGACGCGTTGCCCGGCAAGCCAACTCCATGCTCCCTCGTCAACAAGTGACGAGGGAGGATGGAGCCGGCTTTCTGGCCATTAAAAGGAGAACTATGAGGGGGAGGGGGGGGAGGGGGTGCTTTTCACTCACCTCATAGTTCTAGCCGACCTGTGACAATGAGACTGTCACGGGTCGGCTCAGTAGATCTCGAAGTGAGCGAACACATACCGGCGTTCGCTCACTTCTCGATCTTGTCACGGCTCTCAGCCGTGACAGGGGGAGGGGCTGGATACCCCCCACCCCGATCCACCAGCACTGACTGGCGTAACGGTGCGGGTACAGCTGGCTCTGCCTCTAGATAGGCGGAGCCAGCTGTCACTCACGCAGCTGGGCGGATCTCGACATCGATGTCGAGATCCGCTCCGGCGTCTCAGTATACCGCGAGCTGTAGCTCCCTATATACTGAGCCTAGGGTAGGAAGCCAGGTGCCGTATTATGACTGTGTATTATCCTGAGTGGTAAGCTGGCTTCTTGCTCCCTCGTCACCAAGAGACGAGGGAGCGTGAAGTCGGCTTTCTAGCCAATCAGAAAGCCGGGAAAAAAAAAACCGGGCTTCCTGATTGGCTTCATGCTCCCTCATCACTTGTAATGACTCGCTGCCCGGCTTCCCGCGATTCCAGAAGCTCAGGTATCAGGCCTCATCAGGCACGAGTACTCGCCCAAATGCTCGGCACCAGTATCGGCACATCTCTATTATAAAACCACAAGAATACAGTTCGGACGGTTCCAGTCATCTTACCGGTGCGCTCCCCCCTGCGAGGAGCTGTATCATCTGCTGCATCATCTGTTGCTGAGCGTTGCTGCTGCCCCCTGCTGGAGAGGCACTGCTGGGCGTGGAGGGGGACGTGTTCTCGGGGGCTGTACTTCCGCTGGACGCCGGCGGCACTCCGGGGATACTGAAAGCACCAAAACTGTTAACAAAAGCCTCAATAAGATTTAAGTACAGAAAATGCAGGCGGCTTCCAAAGGTCCTGTTCACACTGCATGTTAAAAGGTAAAAATAAACCCAAAAATGCAACCTCCCGTAACAATATGGTGACCGGTTACAACCCCAGGCACCCTCTGGGAGGACACCATAATGGGTGACAGTCTGGGAATGGACAGTGAAGCATTAAAAAAAAGGTGGAGGTGCTGTTGGGAACACCCATCCCAATGCAACTGACATCAGGATGTAGATCTACCACTGAGAATGTGTCTCCATATCCAGCTGGCAGCAGAGGCCGGTCACCACCACAGGGGCTCTGGACTGACAGAGGCACAAGGTAAGAGTTTCTCTGCAGAGAGCAATTGTCCCAAATTAAAAGGCACAGTACTCCTTTAACTACCTCCAGGCTGGCCGTAGTAGAAAAATGGCCGGCCCGGAGCTCTCTAGATCTGAGCGGGCGTCTTTAGACGTCCGCTCAGGCACGCCCCGTCGCGCACGCCGCTCGGCACGCGCGTGCGGGTTACGGCCGAAATTCAAAAACAGGCAGCGATGCCTGTCACCATACAAGCGATCCGCCGGCTGTAGAGCCGGCGGATCGCCTGTATGGGGTGCCGATCGGTCCC